AGCCTCTGAAACCTTTAAATTAAAAACTTTAATACCTCTTCTTAACACACATAGTTTCTGAAGCTCATTCATTTTTGTAAATTAACAATTTTATCTTTTCTTTTTTAGATGATTTTATATTCCAATTCAAGCAGACTATCTATTTGTGATTTTTTAAAAAAAATATTGCCTTTGACTTTCAGTTAAGTGAACAAAATAAACCAATTTATAGATAATATTCCCCATAAATGGAAACATAAAGTCAACTTATCTATAGTTACATTTTCTCATTTTTTTACACTTGAAAGTTGAATTATATACTGATGAAACATAAAACTGGTGGAGTACCAAATATCTGTTTGGGGGGTTCCTCCCCTAAACTTTCTTCCCTTCCTTAGCTTAGATATAGAAGGGGGCAACTGCTAGCCAGTTTAACAAACCAAAATGCCTTGAGATGTCTAAGAGAAAATAAACAAAACAAAAACAGTGTCCGAAACCAAGATGCTGTCACAGCAGACAAACAAAATAGATGCTTTAAACCCAACACTTTTGAAAGCAAATCAGAAAAAAAGGCAGTATGAGATCCTTAAGCATCCATTTCAGAATAAAAAACTGAGCCCTCAAACAAACCAAGAAAGCTCTTAGAGATCCGAGAAAGAACTCCCCCAAATCCACGCGCTTAGGTAACACAAGAGGGTCTGGACACAGAAGTCCCTACTGCCAGTACCACCTAAGTGACTCCTTCAGGGAAAAGTAGATTGTTCTTGGGACACCAAATTCTTGCACTGTAGATGTTGACACGGAACAGAACTCCTACCTCCAAGGGAATAAAAGATAGTTTATCTTGAAGCCAAATATGAGTGACCATGGTCTAGGAATTCAGATTTTGGCTACCCCAAATCCATGTTCCAACATGGAAGCAGTTCCAGGAAGGTTTTGTAGTTTTACAGAACAGAGAAAGTGGTAAATGAAGTGCTTTTCAAATACACAGGTAGAAATCATCTGGTGGACCAAAGCAAAACAGGAACCTCTGCTCTTGGCCTCCCATGCTATCTGATGACAGCCTGTTGGTGGGTGAGAGGTATCTATCTAAGAATCTTCCAAATTCTCCAGAACCTTTTAAGTGCAGCTCAGTTAATCAGAAAAGAACGTGCTCCTGCTTTCCAGGAATTTAATTCACACACCGTAATACTCAGCTCATTTCCCCCACTCTTACACAGTTCAGGATCCCTTTCAGAGGGAGTGGTGCCACCCAGAGATGGGGTCTTCCTGATTCAATTAGGCTAGTCAAGATAATCATACAGACCAACCTGATCTAGAAAAGTCTTCATCAAGACTGCCTTAGACTGCTCTAAGTTCACAATTTTAAAAACCACCACAGTTATCTGTGTATATTCTCTTTTCTCATTTTCTGTATTTTTCTTAATAAACCCTAATTCTTGTTCCTTCTTCTGTGAAAGACTGAGGTCAAGGAAACCATGAACACCATCGAAATGAAGAACAGCAAAGGACACAGCTTATTTGGGAAGCAGAGTGCAGAGTCTTTATCCTTAGCCGTATCATATTGTTACAGCTCTGATTGCAAAATACATAGTGCGAAAGATACCAATCTACTAATGCCTTTTATTCTATTGGAGAGCTACTAGAGAGCAGCTTTTCATATGTTGCTAATTGGACCTTTCCCCAGAAGATAAATATGAAGAATATGACATGTGGTCAAGGAAATACCTGTTGGAATGTGAAGACACTATTCTGCCCAAACTCTGCAAACATCCTCTTGTTTGCAAGGGAGTCTGGCAGGTGCATTGTCCTGGGCTGACATCAGCTCAGCAAATTTCCTTCACTTAATTTTAAAACTAAGAATTAATAAAAGGTCCCAGATTTTTTTTTAGTGGAGGTAAAAACTGGACTGGAAACAAAGAAAACAAAGGCTACTGAAGTGCTTCAATCATTACCCAGTTAGGGAGCAGAGAGGGTACTGTCATGTTATGGGCCACGTTGGCTGTGTCTGTATTTATTGTTCCATCTTTACCTCTTCCCCTCATGTACTTCCTTTATTTTGTTCTGCTTGTTTTCTGGCTTCTTTTGGTAATGGCTTGTCTCATTAAGTTTTGTGCTTTAGTAATGTATCGACTGCACTGATTCAGTTATAGACCACATGCTTTTAAACACAGGCAGTCTCTGCAAAGTTCTAAGTGTTTTTCTAATTCCCTGTAGCATCTTTATTTAGCTTGAAGTTGTTTGTTAGCTTGCTCATGTAGGACAGTTTTCTTTTTCTTTCTTTCTTTCTTTCTCTCTCTCTCTCTCTCTCTTTTTTTTTCGAGACAGGGTTTCTCTGTGTAGCTTTGAAGCCTATCCTGGCACTCTGGAGAACAGGCTGGCCTCACACTCACAGAGATCCGCCTGCCGCTGGGATTAAAGGCGTGTGCCACCAACGCCCGGCGACAGTTTTAATTTTTAATTCCAATTTATTATTTTTTTTTACCAGAGCTTTCATGTGACATTGAAAATGTATTTTTCTTTCTTACAAACATGTATGAGTCTTTCAGATTAAAACAAAACTTGTAAGTAGCTAGAGAGACAGCTCAGCAGTTAAAAGCACAGACTAGTTGTTCTTGCAGAGGCATTGAGTTC